CACCTTGTTATCTCAGATTCTCCAGCATCAGCAGTTCCTACTATTTCACGGAATTCTTCAAGTTTGTTTTCACCAAGGTTTAATAAAATTGCAGTGAGACTTCCCGATTCCTTTATCCAAGTGATTTGTTCTTTGCTTCCCTAATTGCCTGTTGCACCTGCATGTTAACAGATTGTGATTTATGTCCAAGAGCACCCAGGTGTCTCTGAATTCCATTGTTTTCCTGTCTGTTGAAAAGATATTTGGCTTTTCTGTTTGGTGTAGCCAAGTGCATAACTTCACATCTCTCCACATTACAGCCTATTTCCCATGTTCCTGCCCATTCTCATATCTGTCTATTTCATCTTTTTTGTCTTCCTTAGAGTTAATTTCCTCACCTAAACTTGTGTTATCAGCAAAAATGAAAACATTGCAAGCTGTCCATAATCTACTTCCATATCAAGTGTTGTTGGCGTTTCTAATACCGAACAACTTAGAGTCTGTGAACCCAAAAGCTGCTTGTTCAGACTTGTGTTTGTATCCATCAAATAGTCTTCAATCCATGCTAATGTATTTTCCAAGTCCTAAGAGCCCTAATTTTATGTAATAAGCTCTTGTGAAGCAATTTATCAAATGCTTTTTGAAAATCAAAGTAGACTGGTTCCAATTATCTACCTACAATGTAAAAGACTCTGGGCTAGCTGGCTGGTGAGCAATATAAGTGCACAGTCAGAAAGTCAGTGTCCTGAGAGAAAACAGCAGGTTTGGACATCATCGAGTCACTGCCATTCCTCTGCAGCAGTGCCTCAGCCAGGCAAGTTAATCTGCTGTGGTATAGATTGTGGGGTTTTTGTGATGTTGCGCACCCCTTTGAGCATTGATACCCACAGCCATTTAAGTGAAGTAATTCCTCTTCCTCTCCATTCTAATTATCAACCCTTCACCCATGAGACAGCACCTGCATTTATGGACTGTTTTCCTGGTCAGACAATCTCTTAGCATCTAGGGTCATAGAGATATACAGCGTGGAAACAGACCCTTTAGTCCAATTCATCCACGCTGACCAGATATCCTAAATAAGTCTAATCCCATTTGCCAGCATTTCGCTTATATATCTCTAAATGCATCCCATTCATCTACCAATCCGGGTGTCTTTTTAAATGTTGTAATTGTACCAGCCTTGACCACTTCTTCTGGCAGCTCATTCCATACATGCACCACCCTCTGCATGAAAATGTTGCCCCTTAGGTACCATTTAAGTATTTCCCCTCTCATCTTAAACCCTCTAGTTTTGAACTCCCTCAGCCCGGGGAAAAGACCTTGTCTATTTACCCTATCCATGCCCTTTATGATTTTATAAACCTCTATAAGGTCACCCCTCAGCCTCTGATGCTTCAGGGAAAATAGCCCCAGTCTGTTCAGCCTCTCCCTATAGCTCAAACCCTCCAATCCTGGCAACATCCTTGTAAATCTTTCCTGAACCCTTTCAAGTTTCACAACATTCTTCTTATAGCAGAGACACCAGAATTGCACACAGTATTCCACTAGTGGCCTAACGAATGTCCCGTACAGCCGCAACAGACCTCTCAATTCCTATACTCAATGCACTGACCAATAAAGGCAAGCATACCAAATGCCTTCTTCACTATCCTTCCTACCTGCACCTCCACTTTCAAGGAACTATGAACCTGCACTCCAAGGTCTCTTTGTTCAGCAACACTCCCCAGGACCTTGCCATTAAGTGTATAAGTCCTGCCCTGATTCGCATTTATCTAAATTAAACTCAATCTGCCTCGGTCCATTGGTCCATCTGATCAAGATCCCGTTGTACTCTGAAGTAACCTTCTTGGCTGTACATTATACCTTCAATTTTGGCATCATCTGCAAACTTACTAACCATACCTTTGATGTTCATATCCAAATCACTTATACAAATGAAAAAAAGCAGTGGACCCAACACCAATCCTTGTGGCACACCACTGGTCACAGACCTCCAGTCTGAAAAGTTTAGTTTGCCCTATAAATCAAATGCAAATTGAACACCAGAGTGTTGTAGAATGAAGTCACCCTGACTGCTATTAGTATATTGATCACTGATTGACACAACTCACTGCCTATTGTATACCAATTGAACACTGTTGGAGTGAAATCCATTCTGGTTTTGCTACATGGTTGAGTTGACCACCAGTACCTACAAAGCAATGGGTCCACAGGCAGTGGGTCACTGCATGTAGGAGAAACCAGTAATCCAGTCAAGCTGCATACTCACTCCACCAGGTCTACTCTGTGGAGAAAGAATTATATGTAATCAGCTGTCTTGAAACACAGAGACTCAGTCGCATCACTTATACAATTGTGCATAGCCAACTGTGAAGTGATGCAAAAACATTTGGTTGCACTTGCATGGATCCAGATGCATAAAAGTTCATTCCACTGTCAGCACAGCCACTGACATTGTGGTTCCTCTCATGTTGTCAAGTTTCAGTGGTGAGTGTAGCAGGGGGCCTATTTCAGTGTCGACATCCTATTGAATCACAATGTTTTACACATTGTATCTTTCTGAGATTTATGTAGAATTGTTCCCCAAACATCATTGAAGGACATGATCTTGTTTTGAGATCAACCTCCCCCTTTCTCATGTTGCTCTTCCTCTAGCAGCGTTTTCTCATTGTGTTTCCTCCTCTCATTCACCCACTCATGCTGTATTCCATGGAGATTGTCTACAACTGCATTTATGAATTGGACTAACTGGTTTTGTACAAAAGGCTCAAAGTCAACAAAAAAAAACACAATAACCTGCTCAAAACCTAATAGGAAGACCTTTCTAATATCTCCTATGGTCCATGTCTACAGGTTTTGCTCTGGCCATTTTGTGTCATTTGCTGTGCTCAAGATTCTCCATGTTTGCAGCCAAACTTCTCATACACATGATGGTTGCCTGCCTGGGAACTCAGGTAACATTGATCAAAACTATGTTGATTGAAAATTAATAAAGTGTTTTACTGCATAACAAAGTATAATCAACCTTTGTCTTATGTTGCGTGCAATACAGCATTTAAAAGCTTTTTTGCATATCAGTATATGACACTTAATGGAAAAAAATGGGTTTTCCATTCACATTGATTTTGGTTAACACCTGTAAGTAATTCCTGCATTCATTTTATTCCAGCTACCTTCAAAACGTGACTAATAGCCCAGGAGCAGATCTAAGTGAAATCGCCATTATCTACAATAGATATTAATTACTTTGACATTCAAGAGAAAGTGCTCTTTTGAAATGTGTATATTAATAGATATGTTTGGAGTGAGGTCTCATTTATCAGAGAAATAAGTCATGCTCAAAGCCTACTATAAAGTCCTTTATAAAGTCTGTACCTACGGATTTTGTCTTATTCTGTCTGTTCAAGCTTCTCCATATCTGCAGTTGAACTGCTAATGCACATGGTGGGAAGCATAACAAAAATAAAACCTGAAGGCACAATATTTGAATGTGTGAAATATTCACGTCAAAATAGCTGTTGTGCTCAAATGAAAATTTGAGAGTTTACTCTAATGGCCATAATAGAGACATAGTTGCAAAATGAACAAAGCTGGAAATGAAATATTCTAGGATACTTGACTTTTAGACGAGACAGGTTTGAAAAAGAGGCAGGGCTGCACTGGTAATAACAGGTGGAATAACAATCACCGTAAATCACACAATCACAGTTATTATGGTGCAGAAGGAGGCCATTTACCTCATCATGTCTGCACTGTTTCTTTGACCTTAATGCAATTTCCTGCCTTTTCCCTGTAACCCTGCATATTATCTCTATTTAAGTAACAATTCAATGCTCTTTTGAATGCCTTAATTTAACCTGCCTCTGCTGCACTTCAAGCAGTATACTTGATACCCTAACTCCATGGTGTGTGAAAAGGTTTTTTCTCACCTCTTGTTTGCTTCTTTTGCAAAATACTTTAAAACCATGTCCTCTGGTTCTCGACTCATTTACGAACAGGAATAGTTTTACCCAATCTACTTTGTTCAGACCCTTCATTATTTTGGAAACTTCTGTCAAATCTCCCAGTATTCTTCTCCTTTCTAAGGAGAACAGTCCCAATTTTTCCGATTTTCCTCACAACTGAAATGTCTGATCCTAGGAACCATTTCAAAAGCAGCTTCTGCACTCCAGTGCATTCATATCCTTCCTATAAGTGATACACAGAACTGTAGTAGCGAGGGCATCACTGAAGGTGAGATGGCACTAGAGAATGGCAACTGTCATTCCATCCGTGGTGACGCGGCGAAGGGGGCTCGAGCCTGGCCACGAGGCCCATGGTCCATGACGGAACATTTAACAAGAAGGACTGTAAATTTGGACACATTTTCTTTATTTCTTCTTTTTTCTGCCTTTATATTCCATCTTTTGATTTTTTCTTGTGTGTTTTGGGATGGCGCCAGAGAGTGATGACACCATATATCACTTTTCACTGTATTTTGTAACAAGCTACATGTAACAATAAATAAATCCAATCAAATCAGATCATACACCAGCTTAGGTCTAACTAATGTCCTATATAAGGTCGTCATAACTTCCCTGCTCTATTCCAGTACCAAATTAGTTAAACTTAGAATACTGCATGCTTTATTAACAGCCCTCTCTACCTGTCCTGTACCTTTAATGACTTAGGTACTTATGTACTCTTTGCTCTGCACACTCCTTAGAATAGGGTTATTCTGTTTCTCTGTGTACAAGTTCACACTTCTCAAACTTTGAAACTGTCCCCTGCACACTATCATCTAGAATTTATATAACATAACAAAAGTAAGGGACTCTATAGCAATCCATGGGCAACTTCACAAACTTCCTTCCAGCCTGAAAAATACACATTCACCACTGCTCTCTGTTTTGTATCCCATGCCAGTTTTGTATCCACATTGCTATTGTCCATTTCATTGTATAACCTATAACATTCTTCACAAACCTATAGTGTGACACCATAATAAACAACTTTTCAAATTCTATGTACAGCACAACAACAGCTTTCTCCTCATCAAACCTGTTCACTCTTCAAAAAAAATAAAGTTGTTGGTTAGCAAGTTGTTAGGCACGATTTTCCCTCAACAAATCCATGCTAGCTCTTATGAATGAAGCCACATTTTTCTATGTGGCATCAATACTACGTTGAATAATTGATTCTAGAAGTTTGGGCACTGTCGACGTTAAACTGACAGGTCTGTAATTGCTGCATTGACCTTTACAACCTTCTTTGAACAAGGACATAATGCTTGCAAATTTCCAGTCCTCCAACACCACTCCTGAATGTAGGGTAATTGAAGGATAATTGCTAGTGCCTCTGCAATTTTCAATGTCAATCCTTCAGTATCCTTGGAATTATCCATCTTGCCTTATCAAGTTTCAACAGCCTATTTGATTCCTCCTCATCATCAATTTTAAACCCTTCTAGTGACTGAATTTCCTTCGGCTGGGATGGTAGTGTAGCGCTAATATCATTGGATTAATAAAAGAGACCCAGGTTGATGATCTGTGGACATTAGTTCAAATTGCGCCATAGCAGCTTTTGAAATTTAAAATTCCATTAATAAAACTGCAACATAATATTAACTTCAGTAAAGGTGACCATGAAATTATCTTAGAATGTTTTGAAACAGTAGGTATGGATAAGGGGTTCTTTTTCAGGTTGGTAATTTGTAATCAGTGTGGTTCCACATAGATCAGTGCTGGGACCACAACTATTCACAATATATATTAATGCCTTGGAGGAAGGAAGTGAATGTACTGCACCCACATTTGCAGGTTACACAAAAACAATTGGAAAGGCAAGTTGCGAGAGGCAAACAGACAGTTTAGAGAGATGTTGATAGGCTATGTAAGTGGGGAAGAAAGTTGGTAAATGGAGTATAATGTGGGAAAATGTGTAGGTGTTCATTTTTGAAGGACGAACAAAAGAACTAGGTATTATTTAAATGGAGAAAAAACACAGAAGGCTGTAACACAAAGGGACTTGGGGATACTTGTGCACAAAACACAGAAAGCTAGCACACAGGTGCAGCAGGTAATCAGGAATGTTGGGCCTTATTTCAAGGGGATTGGTTTATAAGAGTAGGGAAGTATTACTGCAATTGTACAAGGTACTGGTGAGATCACATCTGGAGTACTGTGAGCAGTTTTGGTCCCCTGATTTAAGAAAATGTATTACTTCATTGGAGGCAGTTCAGAGAAGGTTAACTAGAATGGTCCCCTGTATGTTTAACAGTTTGGGACTCTACTCATTGGTATTTAGAAGAATGCAAGGTGATCTCATTGAAAGGTATTGGATTCTTAATGGGCTTAATATGGTAAATGCTGAGAAGATGTTTCCCTTCAAGGGAGAATCTAGGGCTGGAGTGCATAGTTTCAGAATTAAGAATTTACTACTGAGATGAGGAAGAATTTCTTCTCGCAGAGGGTTGTGAGTCTTTGAAACTTCTTTCTACAGAGAGCTATGGGGGCAGAGTCTTTGTGTATATTTAAGACTGTGGTAGATACATTCTTGTTCAGCAGGTAGACTCAGGGATTATGGGGAAAGGACAGGAAAGGGCCTGTGAGGAGTGTTGGATCAGCCATGATCCTGTTAAATGGCAAAGCAGACTTGAGGGAGCTGAATGGCCTGCTCCTGTTCCTATTACTTATGGTCTTATGGTTGGATGTCACCAAGACCTGAGCAACATCTGCCTTGTAGGTAAAGAGGGATGTGAAATATTCATTTAATATCTCTGCCACACCTTTTGCTCCTACGTGTAAGTCCCCTTTTTAATCTCTAATCAGCACTGTTTTGCTATTAATGAGTTCTAAAACACTTCAGAATTTTCCCTTTACGTTAGCTGTCAGTCGTTTTTTCATAATTTGTCTTTGCTTCTTGCATTTGCTGTCTCACTTCTGTTTTAAACCTTTTGTATTCAGCTTAGTCCTCAAATGGTCAGGTTCAGAGTGCTACAATGTAGAATCAGTTGTTCCGTGCAACAAAGAAACAGAAAGTATTGGTTAGAGTAGCAATAGTTCCTCATACAGTCATTGCACTATCCAGCAGAATATAAATCAGGAAATTAAAGAGTGATAGGTGCATAAATTTAATTGAGCAAACTAAATTTGCACAAATTCTGTGGGGGAATAAGGCTTTGGAATGCATTCAGTATAGTTTGCAAGATCAGTATGTCAAAGAATCAACGAGGAAACAGTTTGTTTTAGAATGGCCATTATGCAATGAGAGACAGTTAATTTGTTACATTGTAGTAAAAGAGTCCCTCGGGATGACCAATTATAATATAATAGAATTTTATTTCGAATTTGAGACTGTTCTAGGAAACATCAACAGCTTGTCTTTGTTTAGCATCTTTAAATTAATCAAATGTGCCAAAGCACTTCACATGAGTATTATGAAACAAAATTAGATGCCAACCCACATAATGTGATATTAAATCAGATAACCAAAAGTTTGGTCAAAGACATAAGTTTTATGAAGTATTATTAAGGAGACAGGTATCAAAAATAGAGGTATAGGGGAACTTGGAAGATTAAAGTTCAGGCCACCAATAGAATAACATAAAATCGGGAATGCTCAAGATGCCAAGATTAGAGGAACACATATATGTAAGAGTTTTGTGGCTGGATAATATCCAAATATAGGGAAAGGCAACTCAAGGAGAGATTTAATACAAAGATTACAGTTTCATAACCAAGGTGTTGCTTGACTGGGAGCCAATGTAAGTTAGCGAGCAGAACGGTAGATGGTGAATGGAGCTTTATGTGAGTAAGCATAACGGCAGCAAAATTTTGGATGACCTCAAGTTTGTTGAAGATGAATGTGGGAGGTCAGCCAGGAATACACTGGAATAGCCAAATAAAGCCTTAAAATGTGCAGTCCGGTTTTATCCAGAAGAGGTTCATTTTGATTGATTGTAGTCTTGCATGAA